CCAGCCATCATTCTAGGCCACGTGCTAAGCACTTTACAGGCTGTAGCAAGGCCCGCAGTTCAAAGCCAGCAGCCACTCTGAGGGAGAAAGACCAGGCATTTCACTTCTGGAAAGAGTGACCTTTTCAGAAACCCACCTACCTGTCTGGTAGGGTTGCTATGAGTTAGCATTGACTCCATGGCTGTGGGTTTTGTTTGGGAGCCCCTGATGCTGTCACTCTTCCCAGCAGCCCTCGGGGGGTTGCTCGGGCTGCCAGCGCAGGGTTCTGCCGCTGAATCAGGAAGCCAGTGGCAGGGCCATCTTTACAACACACACACACACACACACACACACACACACACACACACACACACACACACACACACCCTTTGATCATGTTTCTCCTGTAGAGGAAATCTTTACATCACACACACACACACACACACACACACGAAATATTTAACACACACACACACACACGAAATATTTAACACACACACACACACACGAAATATTTAACACACACACACACACACACCTTTGCTCATGTTTCTCCTGTAGAGGAAATAGCTTTGTTAAGCTCTTTGCTCACAGCCTGGCCAGAGCTGGATGTCATGGCCATGCTGACAGCAGACAGTGGTGACCCGGAGTGGGTGGGAGAGGCCAGAAGGCCGCTCCTAACAGAGATGGGTGGGGCATCTTTGCTTTTGGGAGGCCAGGGCGCGTGTGTGGGGGAATGTGGCTGACAGAAGCTGGGGAGCTGACTGCATCCTGACCCAGAATTCAAAGGGAGGGATGGTGAGTCCAGGCAGCAGCAGCGAGGCCCCAGGCCCTCACTTCCCTCTCCTCACCAAGATCTCTGCAGGGACCTCTGTGAATCTCACTCACTGGGCACCTCTCCTGCCTCACCCCGGCCCTGGTTCTGGGAACTGAATGTGTCCAACAGATCTGAGTGTGAATTTTTTTTAAAAAAATCATTTTATTGGGGGCTCTTAGAGCTCTTATAACAATCCATACACCTGGGTGTGCATTCTGCCTCTCTCTCATCTTGGGGTCTATCTAATCCTGGCATCTGCAAACACACCGGAGGGACCTGGTCCAGCTTGGGGAAACCGAGGCCCAGGACAGGAAGAGGGCCAGGCGGCTACTCAGCCGCCTTTTCCCGTTTTCCTTCTCTATGGAGTGCCCGGTGCCCTCCCCTTCCTCAGCCTCAGAGTTCCCACCTGTTAAGTGGGGATTAGGAGCCATGGTGGAACAGTGGGCTAAGCACAGGCTGCCCACCGCAAGGTTGGCAATTTGAACCCACCAGCCCTTCGGCGGGAGAAAGGCAGTCGGCTTCTGCACAGATGACAGACTACAGGTTGGAAATCCCACGGGGCAGTTCTACTCAAGATTGCTAGGAGGCGGATCGCCTAAACTGATGATCTGACTGAGGGTGGTCAAGATACGGAGCCCCGGCAGAGTAGTGGTTACACATTGGGCTGGGATCCACCAGGTCAGCAGTTTAAAGCCACCAGCCACTCCGGAGGTGGTAGAAAGACGGGGCTTTCTACTCCCATAAAATTGATCGTCTCAGCACCTCACAGGGGAAGGTCCACCCTGTCTGAGAGGATCACTATGAGCCCCATCGATTTGATGGCAGTGAGTATTTTTTGTTTTCACAATCTGGACACGCTGCTAGTGGGAACATGGGCTGGAGGTACGGCCACTGTAGAGACCTGTTTAGAAACAGAGTTGCCCTAAGACCCACCAATCCCTGCCCATCGACCCAAGAGACTGTGAAGACATCTGGGCACACAGGGACGCGTGCACCCATGCTCACAGCACCATTCCTCATGATGTCCTCCAGAGGGGACATCCCAAGTCCATCAACTGCTGAGGGGCTGGACACACTGTGTTGTCAGTCACGCAATGGAATGCCCCAGGCAATCAGAAGGACAGAAGCCCTGATGCGGGGGACAGGGTGGATGGCATCAAACAGCGTGGATGGTGCAGGAGAGAGAGGCCAGGCAAGGAAACACACCCGAATGCTCCCACCCGTGTGGCATGTCTAGAAACGGCGCCGCTGTGGCGACGGAAAGTGGAGTAGGGGCTGACTTGGGCTGGGGAGCGGCTTCCCTTTGGGGCCGTGGAAATGCCCTGAAATTAGATTGTGGTGATGGCTGCACCACTCCGTGAGCACACTAAGACCCACGAACCCCACACTTTGGATGGGTGCCTCTTAGGGCCTGTGTGTCACACCAGAAGAGAGTGATGTCAAACAGTGGGCTACCGCCGTGTCTATGCTACACGTTGTAAGGTGCCTGCCATAAAGTTAAGTGACCTATCAGAGGTCATCGTTGACAATGATGCTGTCGCCCACATAAGGATCCGTTGCTCAATGAGAAATTGCTTAAGCTTCCTCAACATTCCTTATATTTAGAAGGACTTTGGGGACCTGGACAATCACTAGTGAGTCGGTGTCTCTAAGTGACCTGCCTGTACCCACACAGGACACCCACAGGGCTCCTTCTGGCCCAACAGACTCTGAGCAGCACCATTCTCCCTGAAACACCAGGCTCCTCATCGGTCAGAAGCGTCTGACAGTAGCTACTGCCAGAGGGCCTTATACTTTGTATCAGGAAGCCCGTAAACCTCATTTCTCGCAATGGCCAATCTCCTGGCCAGCGCCATCAGGTGCAGCCCCACACAGCCTTTCAAAGGGCTTTTCAAAAGCAGCCCCAGAAGTGATCCAGTCTTTGAGTCCGGAGTCCCATGAGCCCAGTTCACTGCCTGCTCAGAACTAGTTTGGGAGCGGCGTTCCCAGGGTAGAGTTGTAGGCAATTGTGCAGGCTGGAGCCTCAGAGCTCTCTGTGGGGAGGGTAGGTGAGGGAGGGTCTCTGCTCCTGCCTGGCCACGCCATCCCTCCCAAGTCCTTAGCCAGAAGGCGAGGACTGCTGCTCCAGCTTCCAGCTGTCACCCCTCCTCTCCCCCATGACCCACCCCTCACCTTCCAAGAAGGCAAAGACCCAGCCATCCCTGCTAGACCAGGCTCTTCGGCCTCTCCCACTGGCTCTCTGTCTCCAACAACCATAATCAACTTGGCCACGGCATCCAGCTCCAGCTAGGCTTAAAGCAGCTGTTTCCTCTCAAGTGTTACCCGATGTGGGAGGGGGATGCAAAACAGAAATTCAAATTCTCACGGAATCCAAACTTTCTGGAGCTACTGAGGCTGGATGACCCACACTGGACTAATGCCCTGAGAGATCACCTTTAGACCTGCAGCCTTCTTAAAACCAGATAGGAGTTTAGCTTCACTGGTAAAGAATGCTTGCCTTGAGCCTTGGGCTCTTTTAAGATCCACCAATACATGGATACAAGGAGCCATAGTGTCGTAGAGGTGACGTATGTGGCTGCTAACCACAAGGTCAGCAGTTCAAAACCACCAGCCCCTCTGAGGGAGAAAGATGGGGCTTTCTACTCCCACAAAGAGTTACAGCCTCAGAAACCCACAAGAGCGGTTCTACCCTATTCTATAGGGGTCACTATGAGCTGACGTCCACTTGAATCAAGTTTGTTTGGGGTTTGAGGAGGGTATACATTTATACAGGATCAAATGGACCGCAGAAATTCCCACGATGGGATTGAGACCTCATGAGAGTGGGAGAGGGACAGCTTAGGAAGGAGGATGGCCACACAGCTAGAAGGGTGTTACCACCGTCACTGAGCTAGCTGTACATGCAGAGGCTGTTGGGGCGGCGTGGGTTCTGCAGGATGTATGGGCTCAGCAACAACGTAAAGTAGTTGAAAAGCGAAACACTTGGAAGAGCAGCCCTTCCCACGCTGACGGGACAGCTGAAAGCCACCTCAGCACGTGCCCTCCTTGCACGGGGGTTCTGGGGTGCCCAGGGTTGGGGGAGCCTGAGGTGGCTTTGTTGTTAGAGCTATCCAGCCTGGCCTTCGATTTTACAGGCAGTGGGAAAGTGCGATCGGCTGAAAGGCATTTTCTGAGCGCCTGTTTTAAGTAAATGGCTCCGCAGCTGGGGCTTCGTTGTGAGCCACAGGCAGGAGTGTTATGATTCACGGGCTCGCACTGACAATGATCCTCTTTTATTGGATAACAACAGCAACACAGCCATTCTCCACCCTCCCCGGGCCGGCTTTCTCCGCCGCAGGTCCCTGCCCGCCGCCTGGCAAGATTGTACAGCACCGGGAACGTCGCACCTGGATTCTTGGGGGATGGCACAGACACCGACACTTAGTTGTTTCTGCAGATTTGGGGGG